GGTGTCTATACTATCGAAGGTATGTTCTTTAAGCTTGCACTGAAATAATGATGCAGCGTAGTGTAGTGAATGATGATTAAGTGTAGTGCTTTGTTTGAAACTCCTTTCACATTTTTTTATGAACTTATGAGAATGGATTGAATCCCTTCAGGCTGCATAACGGACCACAAAGAAAACCTGAAAATAGGAGAAGTTGTCGTGAAGAACAACACCAAATCGCAATGCTTAGGTGTTGGAAGTCAAGTGTTTTACAGAGAGACTGTAAGGCCCCATCTTCGAGTAGACACTTTTTGCACAAGTATTGCCTTCTCTAGATTTGCGGTATCTTGGGCCAGCCAGAATGTGACAAAATAGGCCCACCCAAGCGCTATGAGGAGGCATTAAAAAAGGCTTCAGAAAACGCTGGGCATACCAAAGAGGTGAGCTCATAAATTTTATCCATCACGTCATTCAAAACATTCCTGCAGATTCCGATGCCTGGACTTCCACCCGGCTGGAAAGTGGTCGATCTAACTCGACAACCTATTCCTGGCACAAACAAAGGAGTACTGTCTCATACGCTCATATTCGAACCACAAGCGACAGGCGGCTCAAGGTAGCTTCGAGCTACAATTTACTCACTCGCAAATCTACTGAATAAAGATAAAGTCGGAAATGTTGCCAAAGATGTCGGGGTCTGCATGTGGTGATTTCTGTATGTAGCAATAGTCTATAGACGAAACTCAAACTCTATAAGAATACTCGTTTTATCCGGTCTTATAGAAAAGCTCGCAGTAAAACAAATTGAGCTTTGCTTTGTATATGCGTGTTTTGAGCGGCAGAAAAGAAAGATAGGTGACTTTTCGCGAAAATTCACGGAGCCCTTCTGTTGATGTACTGATTTTTTGTATATCTATAGAAGCTCACATGCTCCAACTCATTTTCCCCACATAATGTAAGCAGGGCTGGTAAACCCCTTCTCAATCTCAAAGTCGAGAAAGTGCGGCAGTTCACCTCGAAGCCTCTTCGGGCACGTTAGAAGAACTTCAAAAGCGTATGTAAGTGCACAGTTTTGTTAAGTAAACTGATTTGGAGTCTTGGGTGAGACCGGGACCGCCAGCTAGTGCTGTATAGAAGCCCATGGCTACCCTGC